ATATATATATATATATATATATATATATATATATATATATATATATATATATATATATATATTTCTCATTTTTGTTTCTTTATCTGTTTCTCCATATGTCTCTCTTTATATATCTCTTTCTCTCTGTATCTCTCGTCTGTCTATCTATCCCCCTGCATCTGTTTGTTTGTTTCTCTTTATCTGTCTCTCTTTATCTGTCTCTTTTTATTTATATCTCTCTATTTGTTTCTCTCTATTTATTTGTCTCTTTATTTTATTGTCTCCTCCTCTTTCTGTCTCTTTTTTCTGTCTCTATCTATCTATCTCTCTTTATTTCTCTTTATCTATCTCTCTTTATTTGTCTCTATCTGTCTCTCTTTATTTGCCTCTATCTGTCTCTCTCTCTTTATATCTCTCTATCTAACTCTCTCTCTTTATTTCTCTTTATCTATCTCTCTTTATTTGTCTCTTTCTGTCTCTCTTTATTTGTCTCTCTCTGTTTGTTTCTTTTTATTTGTCTCCTTCTATCTGTCTCTTTTTATTTATTTTTATTTTTATTTTTTTCTCTGTCTTTGTTTCTTTTCTTATCTGCTGCACTCTAAGCAAATACAAATATATAAACAAATACAAATATATAAATAAATATAAATCAACAAACGCTGCCGCTGCAGCAGCAGCAGCAGCAGCACTATCTGCTGCTGCTGCTGTTGCTGCTGCTTCTGTGCAAGGCGCAGGAAGTAAGCGGCACTAATTACTGTCCTGCTGCTGCTGCTGCTGCTGCTGCTGCTGCTGCTGCTGCCTTGCTGCACTTGCAGCAGCAGCAGTCTTGCTGCTGCTGCTGCTGCTGCTGAGTTGCTGCTGTTGCTGCATTTGCTTCTGCAGAGAATATTGCTGCTGCAGTTAAATACCCGACTCTATTGAGTGTTCTGACACCTGTTGCAGCAGCAGCAGCAGCAGCAACTGGTGCTGCTGCTGCTGCTGCTGCAGTAGTAGTAGCAGCAACTCTTGTCGCTGCTGCTGCAGCAGCTGCTGCTGCTGCTGCAGCAGCTGCAGCACAATCAAAGGGAGGGCCTGTCGCACCTCATCTCTCCATCATCTGAGCTGTCTGTCTCTTCTTGCTGCTGCTGGCTTCCTGCTGCTAGCAGCAGCAACGCTGTTGTGGTTTGCTGCTCCTGGGGGACGAATCTCCCTTGCAGCAGCTCGT